AATCCTTTTTTGTTTTATCCCCTGTAATTATTTTATAAGGTTCATCCGACTCATTACAATTGAGATCACCGGTGAAGAAAACAATTGATGTTTTTGCCGTTGTTGCCGTTGTTGTTGATTTTAGCAAATTGTTTGTATAGTTAACTATAAATTTTGCACTTTCTGAGCGTGCTTTAATGCCAAGGTGATCAAAATGTGTGTTTATATGATAAAATGTTAAATTAGTTTGTAAATTTTGAAATCTATAAATAATAATTAATAATAACAATAATTGTTAGAAATGCAAGAAGAATCTGAATTGTGATTTTATTTATTTTACAAGACCTTGCTTGAGTAACAACACCTAGAAAAAAAAAATAATCATTCGAGTTAATATTAAGTGTATAATAAATAACATTACAATTGAAAAAAGTTTTTTCTCTTGAGATTAACTTACGAGTTAATTTTGCATCCCATCCCATGGAATTCGGAACATTAGGTGTCTAATTAACAATAATATTACTATTATTAAATTCATGTTAAAATTCCTTTTTTTTTTTTTTTTATTATTAAAAGAAATATTTACTTCAGAAAGCCAAAAATGTTCAAAATCCAATAATTTCAGTCGATTTCTAAGATAAACAAATTGATTATATTTATTCAATTCAGCCTAATTATAATAACAATTCCCAAATTCAACAAGTACCACACATACTTGTTATAAAAAATAGGGGTAAACTCGCCCCCTTCATTTCCATCTGGTTTGCCATCATGTCTACCAACGCCAACCCAGCCCCAATCATCATCATTATTTTTAGCCAACAACGATTCCAAATCTTTAATTTGCGAATAGATTGCTTCCTGTATGCCAATGACATCAATCTTATGAAACAGTATAGTGTCAGCAACCTTATATTTTCTAATATTCCACGGTTGTTCTTTTGCTTGACGTTTTTCTAGCTTCTGATTGATTATGAAACCTTCATTCGTGGCTCGTGGGGATGGATCGATACCCTTAGAATCATATCGGATATTAAAGCTTGCTATTCGAAGCTTTTGATTCATTGGTGGGATTTGATTGTGTGAATAAGGCGATAACAATTGATTATCGTCCTGTATATGGAACTAGCGATAGAAATCGCATATGGAAAAGATGACGCCCACAACGTAAAAATAACGTCAAAATAATGTATATATATTAAAAAAAAAGAGGCAAAAAAACAATAAACAAATAAGCAATAAACAAAAAATCAAAAATCAAGCAATCAATCAAAATTGTTGACAATGAAGAAAAAGACAATATGTATATGCAGAGATGTAATTAAAAAAAAAAAAAAACTTGTATGAGAAACAGGAAATTACCTGATATTAAAAAATTCAAATTTTAATTTTAATATTTTTTTTTTTAAAGAATCCAATTTGTAGAAAAAATAAAAAAAATTCGGAAAATTTATATCGAATGGTTTTTTATACTTGCAAAAAAAAAACAATGAACGTATGGCAAAAAAATAATTTTATCTGATAGATTTTCATTTTTATCGGTGAATAACGACGGGACAATGAGATATCATTAATGGTTAGCATTGATGGTATTTGATGCAGATGGGATATCTCCCAAACTAGATGAAACGGTTTTTTAAGCTACTATTTTTTTCAGATTAAAACTGACTCA